AGACATTGCTAATTAACAGTATTTTCAGTAGTAAATGTCAAATATAGTCACGTGATAAAAAAAATTTTTAGTCAGTCTATACTTATTTCCTATAATTTATTATTTTACTTTTTTTTTAGATACAGTTATAAGAAGTAAGAGAAATTTTCAGTCAGTCACTATTTAATTTATTTTTAGTCGTAAATGTCAATTACAGCCAGAAAAAACTTGTAATCGTAGGTATTTAGAGTTTCAGTAGTAAAAGGCAATTTAGTCAGACAAAATTATACAATACTTGTAGTTCTGGTTTCAGGGGTCACAGTTAGTTTTAGTCAGACAATAGAAATTAATGATTTTCAGTAGTAAAAGACAGATATAGTCAGACAATTCGAAATTTATTGCTATTTCAGTAGTAAAAAGCCGTTATAGTCAGATTCTGCTTAAAATTATTCCTTTTGATATTATTCCAATTATTCAAAATTGGAAGATTTATTTTTAAATTATTATCCCTTTTTTATAAATACTAAAATTTATTTTTCTCTCTATAATCCGCTCTTTTAATAATATAATCATATATCTAGTTAGAAAAAAAGAAATATAATATAAAAATGTTTAAAAGTTTATAGAAATTCCAAGGAGTTATAACACTCGAGTCACCGCATCTTTTATTATTATCATCGTCATTTCTTTTTTTTTATGAAACACCCAAGATCGTAATATTAAGTACCGCATGAATATTTATGAAACTGTGGCTGTTTTTAAACGCACAACATAATCTCATAGAAACTACTCTTCTTAAGAAAGGTTTAATATATTTTCATTAAAATGTAGACTTTTAACAAGCATTATATAACTTTTTCTATAGACAAATATATCTTCATCTGGAATTTTTTAAATTTCTTTCCTACAACATACAAATCTTAATAATTAAACACTTAATTTTACTAATTCTGGAGGGGAAAAAAATTTCTCTACTTTTAGAGCGGGAAAAACTTCTTTAATTCTAGGGAAGAAACAAAAATTATTTTTATAAATGAAAATAAGTAATTTTAAATCAATAAAAGGAATTAAATAAATATAAATAAATAAATGAAATAAATAAATATAAATAAATAAATAACAGGTTGAAATTTATTATCGCTTCAGTAGTAAAATACATGAATAGTCAGACAAGTTTGAAAAAAATAAATAAAAATATATAAATAAAACTAAATCAGTAAAAATAAATAAATGAACGGAAATAAATAAATAAAATAAATAAATATGAATAAATAAGTAACCTGTTGTTTCAGTAGTAAAAGGCATAATTATATTGTCAGACAAGTTGAAAAAATGAATGAAAAGATATAAATAAAGGTAAATACGAAAAATACACAAATGATGAGAAATGAATAAATAAAAATAAATAAAAAAATAGAGAACAAAAAATAAAAGAAGAAAATAATATATTTGGATAAAATAGTTTATCGGATAATTAACGGAAATAATGTATCGTGCGTAATCGTGATAATAATAAAACCTAATACACTAATCAAGTTTTGACTATAATGATGGGTTTTAATGAAAGCACTTGAATAAAACGATCGGTGTGTTATATATGTGATAAGCTTTCAATTCACCGCGAGTAAAGGTCAAAGGGATGGTAACAGACCAAATCAATTCGTGCAAACCAATTATTTCAGGAAACACGCGAAGGCACACACAAAATACTACATCGCATCGCATCGCCAGCATTGGGGCTCTTTCTCTCCTATCCGGAAATGTTGATTTTCAAGCGCATCCGATTGTACACGCGAATCGCTTGTTTCAGCTAAAATTGCAGATTTCTTTCATTTAAATGTCACTCTCGACTACTGTTAGGTATATACTCTTCAACCAAAATTGTGGCATTCTTTTCCATTCAACTGTCACATAATCTTGTCGACTAAATTTTATTTGTCAGCGAAAACAATTAGCTAATTTTATTGTTTTCTCTTTTTTTTTGCCTCTCTCCCTCTTTGTCTCGCTCATTCTCTTTCTCTCTAACAAAGCAAATAACTTCTTTAATTAAAATTATATCGTGAACTTTGATAAATTGAATTTTAATTTAAACTTAGGCTTTTCCTTTCAATAATGGAAGAATAACTTTTGTAAAGAATATTTTTAGAATTTAATTATATTCTGGAAATATTCTTCTAATATCAATTATAATAATTATTGTAGGTAATTAATTTTACCTGACGTTGTTAGTTTAAAATTTGTTTTTTAATTTACAAAAAATTCTTCATTTTTTAAAAAATATAATTTTCGAACAGTTTTTCTTTAAATTAAAAAAATTAAGAATCACTTGAACGATTTGAATTATTTAAATTAAATATTTTTTGAAAAATTCAATTATTTTCTATGCTTTTAATTATAATTCTTTAAAAATACAATTATGTTAAAAATTCTTTTTTAAAGTGAAAAAATAAACTTCCTTAAAATATAGAATTTATTTCAATCAAATTTGACAAAATTTCTAATTGTTCCAATTGTTTAAAATCATTTACGGAAATTGAATTATCTTCGAAAAATTTTAATTACATTTCTTCAAGAAACAATTTTTTTTGGAATTTCTAAGATAAATTATACGAAACTTCAATATTTTTTGTTACACAAATATTTAAAAACTTATTGTTATTTATTTTTCCACAGGAATTAAAATTTCAAAATATACTTTTATTGTTAAACTTTTTGAAATTTAATTATTATTTATAAAAATTTGAACTGAAATTAAATTATTTTCTAAAATATTAACAGAAATATTGTTTTAAATGAATTATTATCAGAAGTCGACTGCGACAATTGAATTAGTTATAAATAGAATAATTTTTGAAAAATTCAATTACTTTCTGAATTTTTAGTTACAATTATATTAAAAAATTATTTTTAAAAGTGAAAAAATAAAATTCTTTAAAATTTATTTCAATGGAATTTGACAAAATTTACAATTGTTTCAATTTTCTAAAATTACTTTCGGAAATTCAATTATTTAAAAAAAATTTTAATTACTTTTCTTCAAAAAACAAATTTTTTCGAAATTTTTAAGTTGAAGGCAACAAAATAAATTAAAAATTCTATTTAACGTTTCAAAATATATTAAATAATTGTTTTTAAACGAATATTGAAAGACTTAATTTATTTTTCCACATGAATATAAACATTTCAAATGATTTCAGTGAAAAAAATTTTGAAATTTAATTATTCCCGAAAATTACAACTGTAATTTTTCTAAAATTCAATTACTATTTTTACAATTTTTAAATAAAATTATTCAAAACTTTAATCACTTTCACAGAAAAAAAAACAATTTTCAAAGAACTGAATTTTAAAATCTTTTAAAATTTATTTATTTCCTGAAATTCCTGTTATAATTTTTTAAATATTCAATTATTTTCTAAAATTTTAACTGAAATTTTTTTAAAGTTAATTTCTATCAAAAGTTAACTATGAAAATTAAATTATTTGAATAAAATAATTTTTGTAATTTTAATTATATTTCTGAATTTTTAGTTACAATTTTTCAAAAATACAATTGTGTTTAAAATTTTTTTTTTAAACTGAAAAAAAATTATTTCAAATATAAAATTTATTATCATTAAATTTGACAAAATTTTACAATTGTTTTAATTTTTAAAATTATTTTCGGGAATTCAACTATCTTAAAAAAAATTTAATTACATTTTTTCAAAAAATAAATTTTTTTTGGGAATTTCTAAATTAAATTATTCAAAAATTCATTAACTTTTGGAAAATAACTATTAAATTATTTATTGTTTTTTATTTTTCCACAGGAATTAAAATTTCAAAATATACTTTCATTGTAAAATTTTTTGAAATTTAATTATTTTTAAAAATTTGAACTGCTATTGATAAAAATTCAATTATTTTTTTGATTTTTCGAATAATACTTTTCAAAAATATTAGTTTTTTATGGAAGCTAAGAAATTAATAATTTTTTATATTTAAATATTATTACCACACGGTTTTAATTATTTCTAAAAAATCCTACTTTAACACTTTTAATTATTTCTAAAATTTTAACTGAAATTTTTTTTAATTAAATTCTTATCAAAATTCAATTATGAAAATTCAATTATTTAAATACAAATATAAATAGTTCGTAAAATATTTATATATTTTCAGTCAATCGCTATTAATTTGTTTTTTATTAGTAAATGTCAATTATAGTCAGACAACATTCTAAAACGTTGATATTTAGAGTTTCAGTAGTAAAAGTCATTTGAGTCAGACAAAATTATACAATACTTGTAGTTATAGTTTCAGTGGTCACAGTTCGTTTTAGTCAGACAATAGAAATTGATGATTTTCAGTAGTAAAAAGCAGATATTGTCAGTAGTCAATATCAGTTTTAGTCAGACAATATTAATTGATAATTTTTATTATTAAAACGCCGCGTAAAGTTAGATTCTATTTAAAATTATTCCAATTATTCCAAATGTCAAGATTTATTTAAAATTATTATTCTTACTTCTCTTATTATTTATTAAATAAAAATAATTTGATTAAAGTAAATATTCATTTGATTGAAATAAATGTGCATTTAATCAATAGAGAAATAATCGGTTTTATTTGGATGCAATAAATTTTTGATTTAATGTAAATTTAGTTGATGTTCTATAAATGTCAAAGAAAAGGGTTATCTTCTCCTTTTGACCTGACAATTAAATATATAATTTAATAATAATGTTAATGAGTCGAGTGAAGATTTTCATTGAATAGAATGTGAAGAGAAAATCGATAAATAAGATATGATGGAAATTTCCTGTCAAATAGAGTGAAACAAATGAATCTTTTAAATGTTTACAACATTATTAAATGATTGTTACATATATACGAATATAAAACAATTAATCATATTTTGATCGTGATTTGAATTTCACAATAGATATACATATATATGTATATAGAATATTCTCGGGAAAATGTAAATTAATGAAATAAAATTAATATATGAGCGGAGAGAATTTTTGATACGTTACCTTCTTGTTTCAAATTCAGAATTTGATACCACGTTGAGGGAAAATCTGAAACATACAAAAAAAAATATGGAATTTATTTCTAATTGTATTACGTTCATCTTTTTTAATTACGGTAATTACCATCTCATTTGAAATATTTCTTTTCATCTCTACAAAATTTTTGTTTACCTATAGAAAAAATAGAGGGAGAGCAAACATACGATAAATATTTTTCTCTGTAATTCGACTTTAAAATTTTTTTAAAAAACTACGTTTGATACAAAAATTTGTCAGATATAAAAAATAAAATTTGTTTTTTATCACATAAAAAATGTAAATAGAAAAAAAATTTCGTAAAATCGTGCCAGAGTTGAGTAAAAAAATAGAAAAAAAAAATAGTTTCTTGAATAGGTTGGATTTGAATTTGAAAAACAGGCGTTAAAGTAAAAGTATAAAAAAGTATAAGGAAACAAGTGAACGAAAAAGTGAATAAAATAAAAGAAAAAAAAAGAGAAAGAAATTTAATATGAAAATTCTATTAATCCACGTGTCTGCGGTTTAAGTTTTTTTGAGTACCGAAGTGCCGGAATTTCCGGCATAAAATTATGCCCTCCAACCGGTTAAGTCGCGACCTACGTTCAGTGCGCGTCGCTCCTTCTGCGCTCCGCATAAAATTACGACGCTTTATGACGGAAGTCACTCCCCATTCTTATTGCGACTTGCTCGAGTTCAAATGCAAATTTTGAAACGAGTGCGCGCCCGGTCCGTGCACAACTTACTCCCGTATCGCGCGAGCTGTTGCACAAAGTTAGAAGTTTGATAAGCGAAACGATGTGCCCACTTGGGACCAAGACTCTCTCTCTCTCTCTCTCTCTCTCTCTCTCTCTTTCGTTTCTTGTATCTTTTGATTCTAGTTGTTCAATTGTCGAAATACAAGTTCTGCTTTGCGACATACTCTCGTTTTTAATTTGTAGCGACGAAAATTCATATCTATATTTGGTTTTTTTGTCTTCTTTTGTCTTCTGGGCTTTTTCGGCTATTTTTGTTCTTTTGTCTTCTTTGGTTATCTTGCATTATTAGTTTTTGTGTCCCTTTTGTTTTTTTATCAATTTCTTTGTCTATTTTTGTTCTTTATTTCTCTATTGTCTTTTAGTCTTCTTTTGTCTTTTTGGTCTATTTTTATGTTTGTCTCCTTTTGTGTTATTGTTATTGTCCTCTTATATTTTTTCATTTAATTTTCATCTATTTTTGTTGTTTTTATCTCCCTTGTTTTTGTCTCCTTTTCGCTTTATTTTTGATTTTGCTTCTTTTGTTTTTTGTCTCTTTTTCGTTGTTTGTCGATTTTTGTTTTTGACACCTTTTGTTTTTTGTCTTTATTTATATTTCATCTATTTATGTTTTTGACTATTTCGGTTCTTTTTATCTTTATATTACTTCCTCATAGAGGAAGTATTGTAATACCAAAATTTTTCGAGTTTGATTTTTTGACATATCTTTATATGTTATTTGACCTCAGGAGTTCAAAAATGACATTTTTAAAAAATGTCATTCCGTATGTGTGTGTAAACATCACATTTTCATAAATATCTCGAAATCATGAAGAGCTTTTGGGTTGAATTTTTTTTTAAATTGTAGATCTCACCTGCGGACATAAAGTGAGAGTACTTTTTGATATATTAATAAAGTTTAACTAAATTTTTTTTTGATTTTTAATTTTGCAAAAAAACGTTTTTTGACCATAACTTTAAAAAAATGTTAGGACACCTATAAATGTTTTTCCATAATTTTGTAGAGTTTTTTTAGACGCATCTTTTGAGCCCTAATTGAACATTTTTCGTTCATATTAACCGGAGTTATTAAACTTTTAAAAATCAAAAATTTTGGAAAATAAGACTTTTTTGAAAATTTTGTTAAAAAACATAGAAGTAACTTTAAAATTATCGTTATCAACTTGTAAAGCATTAAAAAACGCTTCGATTGACCTATTTTTAAACCTACTACGATAATAAATTTCGAAATTATTGGTATTTTAAAAACTAAAAATTGTGAAAATATGACATTTTCTCAACTTTTTTGTTTGAAAATTTTTGTTTAACTATTAAATTATTGTAACTATCTTGTAGGGTATTTAATAATACATTGATTGACTCAAAATTCAATCACTTTGACCATATTTATAAAAAGTTATTCATATATTTCTATTATTTTTATCTCCATGAGGAAGTAAAGTGTTTATGAAATGAGCACTAAAATTATAAAAAAAAATACAACTTGGCAGCGGTTTTTATGTTTTTGACTATTTCGGTTCCTTTTATCTTTATATTATTTGTTTGTTTTTGTTTTCTCTTTCTTTTGTTTTTTTCTATCTTTGTTCTTTTTATAATTATTGATTTTGCCTTTTTTGGTTTGTCCATTTTTGCTTTCTCTTTATTTTTTCTTCTTCTTGTTTTAATTATTTATTTCATTTTTTTGTGTCTCTTAGTTTCTTTTGTGTTTATTTAGTTCTTTTCAATATTTGTGTTTTGTTTATTTCTGTTTTTTTGTCACCTTGGATATTTTTTTCTTTATTAACTTTTTGTAACTTCTTTCTTATCATCTTTTGTTTTTTCATCTATTTTTTTGTCTTTTTTTGTTGTTTATATCTCCCTTGTTTTTTTCTCTCCTTTTCGATTTATTTTCGTTTTTGCTCCTTTTGTTTTTGTCTATTTTTATTCTTTTCATCTTCATTGTTTTTTGACTTTTTTGGTTTTGTCTATGTTTGTTTTTTCTTTATTTTTTCTTCTTTTAATTATCTATAGTATTGTGTTTTTGTCTCCTATCTATATGTATTTCTTTTGTCTTCGGTTTTTTTCTTCTTTTTTTCTCTTTTTTGTGTTTTGACAATTTTTTTTGTTTTATCTTCAATCATTTTTGTCAATTTTTCTTTTTTTCTTTTGTTATTTGTTCTTTTTTGTTTCTTTTTATCTTCAGTGTTTTTTTGACTCGTTTTCGTTGTTTGTCTATTTTTGGTTTTGTCACCTTTTGTTTTTTGCCTTTATTTGTTTTTCATCTATTTTTTTACTATTTCAGTTCATTTACTCTTTATTGTTTGTTTGTTTGTTTTCTTTTGTTTTTGTTTTCTCTTTCTTTTGTTTTTTGTATATCTTTGTTCTTTTAATATTTATTGTTTTTGCCTTTTTTGGTTTTGTATATTTTTGTTTTTTCTTTCTTCTTTTTTTAATTATTTATTTCATTTTTTGTGACTCTTAGTTTTTTTTGTGTTTATTTGGTTCTTTTCAATTTTTATCTTTTGTTTATTTCTGTTTTTTTTGTCACCTTGGATATTTTTTTCTTTTTTACCTTTTTGTCACTTCTTTCTTATCATCTTTTATTTTTTTTATCTTTTTTTGCGTTTATATCTCCCTCGTTTTTTTGTCTCCTTTTCGATTTATTTTTGTTTTTGCTCCTTTTGTTTTTTGTCTATTTTTATTCTTTTCGTCTTCATTGTTTTTTGTCTTTTTTGGTTTTGTCAATTTTTGCTTTTTCTTTATTTTTTTTTCATTTAATTATTTATTATTGTTTTCTTGTCTCCTATAATTCTTTTGTCATCAGTTTTTTTTCTTCTATTTTTCTCTTTTTGTGGTTTGACAATTTTTTTTGTTTTACCTTCAATGATTATTGTCCATTTTTATTTTTTTCTTCTTTTGTTTTTCGTCTCCTTTTCGTTGTTTCTTTATTTTTGTTTTTGTCACCTTTTGTTTTTTGTCTTTTTTTTGTTTTTCATCTATTTATGTTTTTGACTATTTCAGTTCTTTTTATCTTTATTGTTTGTTTGTTTTATCTTTCTTTTGTTTTTTGTCTATCTTTGTTCTTTTTATATTTATTGTTTTTTTCCTTTTTTGGTTTTATCTATTTTTGCTTTTTCTTTATTTTTTTCTTCTTCTTGTTTTAATTATTTATTTTGTTTTTTTGTGTCTCTTAGTTTTTATGTGTTCATTTGGTTCTTTTTAGTTTTTGTTTTTTGTCTATTTTTGTGTTTTGTCAATTTTTGTTGTTTTATCTTCAATGTTTTTTGTCTATTTTTGTTTTTCTCTTCTTTTGTTTTGTGTTTTTTTTTTATTTTTTTATCTTTAGTGTTTTTGTCTTGTTGTCGTTGTTTGTCTATTTTTTATCCTTGTTTTTTTCTTTTTTTTGTTTTGTCTCCTCTTGTTCTTTCTCTTTATTTGCTTTTCATCTATTTACGGTTTAGATTTTTTCAGTTCTCATCATCATTGTTTTTTCTTTTCTTTTTTGTTTTTTCGTTATTTTTTTTTGTCTATTTTTGTTCTTTTTATCATCCGCTGTTTTCTTCTGTTTTGTTTTCGTCTATTTCTGCTTTCTTTTTTTATTTTTTTCTATTTTTGTCTTCTTTTGTTTTTTATCTATTTTTATTTTTGACTACTTTTGTTTCATTTAATCTTCATTGTTTTTTTGACTTTTTCTCTTTTTTCGTCGATTTTTGTTTTTTTAAATTTTATTTTGTGTCTTTTTTTGTGTTTTGTTTATTTCTGTTTTTTGTCTCCTTTGAATTTTTGATCTTTCTTAATTTTTTGTCCCTTTTTCATTTTTGTTTTTTGCCCTATTTTCTTTTTTTTCTTTTTTTTCTATTCTTATTTTTTATCTTCCTTGTCTTTTTGCCTTCTTTTTGTTTTTTGTCTATTTGTGTTTTTTTATCTCAAGTATTTTTTTTTCTTCTTTTCGTTGTTTCTTTCTTCTTTTATGTCTCGTTTCCTCTTGTTTTTTGTCTTTATTTGTTTTTTAACCATTTATATTTTTAAATACTTTCGTATTTTTTAATCTTTATTTTTTTAATCTTCATTGCTTTTGTGTCTTTTCCAATTATACTTTCAAATACTTTTTTTTCATTTAATCTTCATTGTTTTTGTGTCTTTTTCTCGTTTGTTGTCTACTTTTGATGTTTGTTTATTTTTATTTTTTCAATTTTTATTTTTTGTCCTCTTTTGTTTTTTTGTCTCCTTTTGTTTTTTATCATCCTTTTCTTTTGTCTATTTTTTTGCTTTGTCTTCTGTTGTTTTTTGTAAATTGTT